CAGGTGTCCCTCTGTCTCATCCGTCCACCCCTATCTGTAGCAGGTGGACAGGTGACCCTCTGTCTCATCCGTCCACCCCTATCTGTAGCAGGTGGACGGGTGTCCCTTTGTCTCATCCGTCCATCCTCGTCTGTAGCAGGTGGACAGGTGTCCCTTTGTCTCATCCGTCCACCCCCATCTCTAACAGGTGGACGGGTGTCCCTCTGTCTCATCCGTCCACCCCCATCTGTAACAGGTGGACAGGTGTCCCTTTGCTCATTGTGTCCAGAAAGTGTCCACAGGACGTGTTTCCATAAAGCATCAGTCTTGTCTTGATGTCCCTTCACAAACCTGTGAGTGTGAATGTAGTGGTGAGGACACAGGACAGGTTTTCTTGTGATGACTCTTCTATGAAGGTCATACCTGTCCAGGTGTGTCTGCTTAGTACAACAGTGCACCACCACTCTTCCTCTCTCACAGTTTTCAGCTTGACATCCACACTTCCTGTTAACGTCCATTTCTTAGTGACATGACCAAGTGACCTGAAAACACTGTCAACAAGAGACCCTGGGGACAGCTGTCTCACTGCTCAGCTGTCTCACTGCTCAGCTGTCTCACTGCTCAGCTGTAATTAATATCTTGATTAAAATCTTCAGACACATGTTTAACATGTTTAACTTCATGTGTGCTGGAGATCAGCTCATGTGAGACTCACAGTAAACGACACTGTGACCAGCGCGGCCCAAACTTCTGCACGACTCTGTATATTTGATATTCCACACATCAGTAAGTGAACACAGAGAGACAGACGCACTGTCTGCAGGTAAATGAGGAACTTCAATCAGCCTGATTCAGATCAGATTTAGTCTCACAGATGAACGCAGGAAGTGTTTATTAAGATCTGACCAGAAAACAGAGAATGTGGACATTCAGGACGCGTCAGTGACAGAACATCAGCTAATGACCATGTCCTTTATCCTCACACCAGGAAACAGCTCTGTGTGCAGACACACACACACACACACACACACACACACACACACACACTGGTTTCTGAATGATTCTAACATGGACAGAGACACCTGCACACTGGGTCTACAACAAACCAGATAATCATGAGTGTTCAGAACAACAGTGACTCAGCAAATATACAGAACTACAGTCTTGTTCACACATCATGTTTTCTGACCAATAATAAAGAAAATATTAAAACTGAGAGAAAACTGAACAAGGTTTGGTTCGCTGTCTGCCTCCCATGGATGGAGAAGTTAAAGCCAGACTCAGTCTATACTATTAGTTTGATTCAGCTTTAACATTAAACTGTCAGGTGGCTGAACATAAGTCATCCCATCTCTCCTACTAGTAAGAGAACTGCACCAAAAGACAGTCATGGAGACAGTTACGCCAAAGTCTGATTAAAAACGCGACAATTTATTGTTGCCTTACTGGTCAGCAACTAGTGCAACTAATAAAACAACACGTCAGATGTGTTAGAGATTGATTTGATCCTCTGCTTATATCGGCATAAAAATAATACACCAGGCATGACTATATTTAGAAGAAATCAGGAGTTCACTAAGCGATCTGTACTGCTGACTGCGGTGCAGTGCATGCTTTTTGTCTTTAGAAACAAAGTTTTCAAACTTAATTAACTATTAAATTAATGAACGTTCAGAGGTTAAATTTAAGCCGAAGTGATGTTTGGTATCTTCTCATGTGAGAACTAACTGAACCATACCTTTAAACCTTTAACATTTGGAAATCAACACAGAAGTTTAAAAAGTACAGATTTTCCCAGGGGGGTTCGGCACATTCTGTCCCCGCCGGACAGCAGGCTGTCTGCGGGCTGCTCCTACCTTGGGGTCCTTCTCATAGTAGTACTGCTGGGTGCGGATCCAGCGGCCCACCAGGTGGTCCCGGACGGTGTGGGCCAGGGCGAAGTAGTAGTCCCGGGGCGTCGCTACGTTCCGGTCCTTAACCAGGGTGAAGTGGAGGTGTCGGTTAAAATCCCGTTTGATCTCCGCCACGTCCGCGACACCGGCGATGCCCCGGACACTGATCTGCTTCCGCTTCTCCTTGTCGGTGAGTGGCGCCGCCATGTTTCCACACAATCAGCCGGGAAGAGGAGCACACAGGGCGGACTGAGCCGGGAGGATGAGCCGTAGGAGTGGAGTTCACCTGTCAGGTAGAGCAGGAAACAACAAGCTGCCCCGCCCACTCTATCAACCGACAGCTGGGAGGGGCGAGGGGGCGGGGCCTTTATGGGCCGGGGGCGGGGCCAACCGAGGAATGTTTAACAAAGAGATTAAAGTGAGAGAAGAGGTCTCACTATGATTGGATGATGGATGATGGATGGATGGATGGATGATGGATGGATGGATGGATGATGGATGATGGATGATGGATGATGGATGGATGGATGGATGGATGGATGGATGGTTGGATGGAGATTTCCCAAACGTCACCAAACTGAATGTATTTCCTGATTTCCCACAGAGTGACTCATCTTGATCACAAACCATCTTTGAATGTCTGCGTGATGACATCAGACATGAGCGTCAGAAAACGCGGTTCGTGTTTCCGGGTTTCAGAATAAAACGCCTCCAGTCAGAACAAAAAAGTTTGTCTGCGGTGAAGTTTGAGGAGTTTTCAAGTCTCAGGTGAGTCAAACAACTTCCGGCCGCTGCAGGTAACTCTCACGTGCTGTTTCATGTGTTCACTGTGCGGTGAAAAGTTCGGTTTGAATTCAGCTGTTCACAAGTTTAAACTAACTGTCCCTCTGTCTCTGTCTCTGTCTGTGTGTCTGCCTGTCTGTGTGTCTGAACCCGACAGCTGATCCTTCAGCACGTGAACCCGGTCCACCTTTAGCAGGTAAGGAATGTTTGTTTTTTTGTTTGTTTGTTTGTTTGTTTGTTGAGTCCAGCAGGAGGACCTGGGTCTGGTTTCACTGAGAGCAGCTGGTCTTACTGGTCTGACTGGTTTCAGTGGGAGCTGCAGCTTTATGTCATTAGTCTGCTACAAAATAAAAGCCCCATTCAATAATCTATAGCTGATTAATCGATATCAGATCGATCAGTCTGATCAGTGGTTTAGGAAACCTTTACTCGAGTACTTTACTTAAGTACACATTTGAAGTAATTGTACTTGACATGAGTATTTTCATTTTATGCAACTTTATATCTGTTTTTGTTTATTATATATTTACATTTATACATTTTTATTTATTTTCTGGTTTATTATTGATTATCTGATTTATTTATTGTATATTATTAACATATTATTGTTAGGTATATGAGTGATCATTTTTTTTTTATTTTTAATATATATTTTCTTATATCACTGACTATATACACACACACACACATATTCAGCATCAGGATGTCGTCGACGTCTCAGAAACACCGCGACTTTGTCGGGGAGCCGATGGGAGACAAATCTGTGTCGGCTCTGTCGGGGATCGGAGAGATTCTGGGGAAGAAGCTGGAGCAGCAGGGCTTTGACAAGGTGGAGCAAACCGCACCTCAACTACACCTGAACACATCACACTACACCTGAACACATCACACTACACTTGAACTACACCTGAACACATCAGACTACACCTGAACACACCAGACTTCACCTGAACTACACCTGAACACATCACACTACACCTGAACTACACCTGAACACATCACACTACACCTGAACTACACCTGAACACATCGCACTACACCTGAACACATCACACTACACCTGAATTACACATGAACACATCAGACTTCACCTGAACTACACCTGAACACATCAGACTTCACCTGAACTACACCTGAACACATCAGACTACACCTGAACTACACCTGAACACATCTGACTTCACCTGAACTATACCTGAACACATCACACTACACCTGAACACATCACACTACACTTGAACTACACCTGAACACATCAGACTACACCTGAACACACCAGACTTCACCTGAACTACACCTGAACACATCACACTACACCTGAACTACACCTGAACACATCACACTACACCTGAACTACACCTGAACACATCGCACTACACCTGAACACATCACACTACACCTGAATTACACATGAACACATCAGACTTCACCTGAACTACACCTGAACACATCAGACTTCACCTGAACTACACCTGAACACATCAGACTACACCTGAACTACACCTGAACACATCAGACTTCACCTGAACTACACCTGAACACATCACACTACACCTGAACACATCACACTACACCTGAACTACACCTGAACACATCACACTACACCTGAACACATCACACTACACCTGAACTACACCTGAACACATCACACTACACCTGAACACATCACACTACACCTGAACTACACCTGAACACATCACACTACACCTGAACACATCAGACGGTGTTGTCTAAACGTACTTCCTGTGTGTTTCCAGGCGTACGTGGTTCTGGGTCAGTTCTTGCTGTTGAAGAAAGACACTGAGATGTTCACTGAGTGGCTGAAAGACGCCAGCGGAGCGAACTCTCGTCAGGCCGGATCCTGCGCTCAGTGTTTGAAGGAGTGGTGTGATGCCTTCCTCTGAGACTCCGCCTCCTTAGCTGAGACCCTGCCTCTTCTTGTGCTCGCTCACGTCCTGTTCCTGAAGCTACAGTCAGAGCTAATAACTGTAAGCTTTAAAGTGCCTCTGCTGCTGCGTTAAATGTTGTCAGGTCAATCTGTCAGCCTGCTTCCTGTCGGGTCACTGTGATGTCACACTGTGATGTCACAGTGACCCGACAGGTGTGTGTTTACCTGTTTTTATCAGCTTGTTTCTGTGGGGAAAGTTTACATGAAATAAAGCTTTGTGTTCACTGATGGTGCATTCAGGGTCTCATCAACCTTTGAGTTTGGCACACATTAAATCAACATCTGCTGCCGACGGTATGTCACAGTTTATTAATTTATTATTTTATTAGTGCAGATATTTGGAGTAACTCGGTGAGTCGAGTTGACAGCTGTCAGACGTTAAATCAAACACTGACTCGTCACTTCAGAAACATTCACGTGTTTATTGCAGATTTTATAGCGAACACACAAACATGTAAAAACAGGAAGTCCTTCAGAGTAGAAAACAATCAGCCGTCGATACAAACAGAAGAGATGATGATGAGGTCAGAGACGGGAACCCAGTGACTGTGTTTACTGGTGAAACTGGGGCCGAGGAGCAGACGGTGTGTCCTCACTTCAGATCCACTCTGTAAAGTTTTAGCGCTTCAGTAAACGTCTCAAACTTATCAGTGTTTCCAAAAAGTCTCAAATGTGATGTAAATTTTTAAAGTTAATACTCAAAGATTCAAACTGAAAAATATCTGTTAAAAATGTCTTTCTCTTTCAAAAGGCCTGTGACGCATATAACCCTAACATCTATGAAAAACAAAAATATGCTGGAAAAATTTCGGAAAAAAACTTGAAAATAATGTCCAAAAAAATGTCAATAAAATGTCAGAAAAAAATGATAAAATAGCCAAAAAATTTAAAATGTCTGAAAAAAAAGTTGATAAAATATTTTTGGCACAAACATTGAGTGTCAGTAGAAATATCATGTGCAGGTCTGATCCATTCATAAACCTGATTAGACATGAAATATTCTTTAACATCTGAAACGTCGCAGCTCGTGAACTTTTGAGTCTCTGCTGAATGAGCCGGAGGTAAAAACTGTCAGTCATCTTTGAGCAGCAGTGGAACACTCATCTTTTACTCGAGTACAAGTACAAGCATCAAAAAGTACTGCAGGTATCACATGTAAAAGTCAAAGTACTCAATTACTATTAGAGTATTAACTCATCGGAGCTTCTCAGTAAACTGAGTCGCTGGATTTATCAGAGCGCGTCACATCTGTTAAACTGATCAGACGTTAAATCTCGATCTGAAAATGATCCTTCAGATGAACGTAGTGCAGCACAAGTTTATTAAGTAGCAGAAAATACTCGAGTACAGTACTCAAGTAGATATACGCAGTAATGTTTCACCACCGCCTGTGAGGTCGACTGTTTGTGAGTGTTTCCATGAGGTCACTTTGTTCAGGAACGAGACGAGTCGTCCTTCAGAGCTGAGACATGAAGCAAAGTGCAGCCGCGTCCACCTGGACAGAGTCTGAGGAGCAGAGCAGCATTTGATTGGACGGTCAGATGTGATGTCAGAGGGGTGTGGAGCCTGACGGCTGCAGGTGAAGAGCAGGAAGTGATGAGTCCGTCTGCTAAACGTCTGCAGGACAAAGTCCAGTCTATAATTGTCTTCACTTCCTGTGGGACCCTTTCTTATTGTTATTATTATTATCTTTATTATTTTTAATTTTCCCGTTTTTATTTATTTATTTTAATTTAATTCATTAATTAGGTTTTATTTTTTGGGTCCAGTTTAAGTTGAGCTCCTAACTTTCAGCGTGACATCACCTGGAACCAGCCAATAGGAGAGCTGCTTTTCACCAGCAGGTGTCAGGCTCCACAGAGGGTTTTTTTTTTGGGGGGGCGGACTTGGTGCTGTATGAGGTCATGGTGAGTCTTCGGGAGGAAGTCCAGGATCTCCTCCTAACATTCAGGAAGTGTGTGAGTCCTTTCACAATAAAAGCTTCAGTGTCTCTTCAGAGACTCGATGTAATGAAACGTCGCTCCGAGAGCCCAGCTGGTCTCCACGCCACCAATCGTCCTCGCCAACTGGGACACAGACAGAGACACTGGTCATTACACACACTGTGGTCATCCTGATCCAGACCCAGACCCAGACCCAGACCCTGAGGTGTTCCTCACCTTGAACTGTTTGTGTGGGGGGAAGCCGAGCTCCTGCAGCAGGACTGAGATGTAGACCAGGTCCAGACAGAGGAAGGGGCTCTGCAGAGGACTGACGGACGGACCGCTGCACACTGAGACAACACAGCAGATCTCAGATCAGTTCACAGGTCTGAGCCCAGAGGGAGTTCCCTCAGTGCATCACAACAAAACATATTTAAAGGGACAAAAACAACAAGAACACAAATACAGAACAAAAACTTTATGATACAAACATGAAAAAGATTTTATAAAACATGTTTATTCAGAATAAAGATTTAAAGACTTCAGATCTGTGACGAGGAGTTCCCTCAGTGTCCAAAGTCCAGATACAGAATCTTAAGGTGTCCCTCAGGACTCTGTTCATCATGAAACCGTTTGGACGGAGACGACCGTCAGCCATTGACTTTGCCTTGAGGAGACAGTCTGGAAACATTTTCGTGGTTCAGACAGAATTTATTCTTCATTTAGAAACAGAGTGAAATTAAAGTGAATCTAATTAGAACATCAGATATTAATGAGGTCAGACTTTATCATCACAGGATGATTCTACGGACACTCTCCATCCTACAGAGTCCAATGATCAGGGACAGACATGTCTCTAAATGTTGGACAGGACAGAGTGCAGTTATCAGTGCTGACAGGCAGAGGGCGCCGTCTCACCTCTTTTAGCTCCAGTGATGTAATCAGCCACTCGGATGGTCCCACCCGTCTTCTCCTCTGAACACACAAACACATCACAGCACATGAGAACCACAGAACACCTGGAGACACCTGAGAGACACCTGGAGACACCTGAGAGACACCTGGAGACACCTGGAAACACCTGAAAGACACCTGGGAGAGACACCTGGAAACACCTGAGAGAGACACCTGGAAACACCTGAGAGAGACACCTGGAAACACCTGAGAGAGACACCTGGAAACACCTGGAAACACCTGAGAAACACCTGAGAGACACCTGAGAAACACCTGAGAGAGACACCTGGAAACACCTGAGAGACACCTGGAGACACCTGAGAGACACCTGGAGACACCTGAGAGACACCTGGAGGCACCTGGAAACACCCGAAAGACACCTGGAGACACCTGGAGACACCTGAGAGATGTTCAGGGTGACTGCAGAGAACACAGTCCGGTGTTGGCGATGATGTGACAGATGTGAGTTCAGATCTGTATCACAGGTGACAGCAGTGACATCATCAATGATACCATGAGTGATGTGTCCTGGTCATGTGTCAGACATGTCAACATCACATGGTGGTTTCACAGAGCTGCAGCAGAACCCTGCACTCTGTCCATGTTTCATATGAAGCCCGTCTGTACCCACAGTGTGACTGTCGGTAAAGGAACGTGGTGGCGGCTCTAAATCGGTGGTCCTACGTCATGATTCAGTCGTGTAATGATTCAAACAGCTGAGTGTCATCAACATCCAATATTAGCATTAGCATTAGCATTAGCGTCCTACCGATGACCCCGAGGTCGACGGCTCGGTCATAGTAGTAGGAGAAGGCGTAGAACTCCACGTCTTCAGCCTCGGACGCCTTCATCACCTTCCTGTACAGAACCTTCTCCACCTTGGTCAGACACGCCTCGTACACTGGCTCCCCTGAAACACACACACACACACTCCAGCTACATGATGGGTAACCAACCAGAACTCATAGTCCAATCAGATCCCTGCACGGCGCTCACCTGCCTTCTGTCCCTTCACAGTGTAGATGACATCGGCGTGCTCCCATCTGACCGACGACTCCGGAGGAAGGCAGGGACTGACCAGCTCAGTGCTGCCGCCTACTGCTCTCTCACACACACACACACACACACACACACACAGGACCTGTTATCAGACCTCAGTCACATTTAACCCTTTCTAAGACACGCCCACAACACCTTTAACCTTTTAACCAAATTATGTCTACCTTCACCACAGGTGTGTAGTTTACCTGTGGAGCTGTGCAGAGGTCAGTGGAGGAACAGGGTAATCAGACTGAGTACATAGTAAAATGACAGTATTATAATATTTTAAAGATGGGGACTTTTATTTTGAAGGGCTTCAAATGAACAGATGGATGGATGACATTAGATCTAATGTCCGTTAAGGACCTGTTGTTGGACCACTGAATCTGAGACACATATCTTTATTCATACAGACTGACTCACAGTGACGTCACCATGACAACACAACACCAGTCACTTCCTGTTAGAAACCTGCTGTCTGTGTTGCACAGATGATATATACATATATATGAGTCAGGGGTTGCGTTAACCGGATATTCTCGGTCATTGACCGTTTTTTTACAACAATGACCAGAAAATCTGAAGGCCGTCCGTCATTTTGACCGGTTGCAATTACCACCCCTGCCCACTTGGCGGCAGAGTGAACAGTCAGTGGATTAAGTGGCTGCCGTTTTCACACTGCAGAGAAAAAGTTATTCATCTGCTTCATGTAGCGTTGTTGACATAACGGCCTGGACACACAGGACGCGGAACTGAAGCGCAGCGCCCAGCAGCGGAGGCAAATATGCTTTTCGTAGGCGGAATCTGGGAAACATTAGCAAAAGTCCCGCCCTCAAGCGCTAGGACTGGACAGGCAGCCTGTCAGTCAAACTCGCACCCCAGCCAGAGCTACGTCATCATTCCTTCATTCATATCTTCTCTACAGCCAGTCTGCCGCTGTTACTTAGAAATGAAAATGCATGTCAACTTCGCCTTCATGCACCAAACAGCTGTAACGAAATTGTGAGGCTAGAGAGAAATGTTGATTCGTTTGCCTTTGTAATCTTGGATATTTCTATAAAAGAGAAATTCATTTGTTTGCTCTTTTGTTTGATCATTAGGTTGTGTTAATAGGCCTACATTGTAAATAGTTGATCGTTCTTCTTATTTACGCCATTACTATAATTCCATTATGTAGAACTTATTTATATATTTAATAATTACTTGCATTACTATAATTTAATTATGTAGAAATTATTTATATATTGAATAATTACTTGCATTACTATAATTTAATTATGTAGAACTTATTTATATATTGAATAATTACTTGCATTACTATAATTTAATTATGTAGAACTTATTTATATATTGAATAATTACTTGCATTACTATAATTTAATTATGTAGAACTTATTTATATATT